CAAGCAGTCTTGGAAATTATAGCTTTTTATTTTAGTGGCTGCTTCTGAGCCAATGAGAGAAATAGATTTTTTCTTCCCTCAGTGCTCCAGAATAATAATTGCCAATTTATATATTTATGAGAATTGTAAATTATGTTTTTCATTGCTGTAGAAAATTGCAAAGCAACTCCCTATGTAAAAAGCGGTATTTTAAGATTAAGGGTAAAAGTATTCAAAATAGATGAACATGCCATTTTTAATGTTAGAATATATTTGTTATAATAGATTTTAAATTAATCTTCAGGTAGGAAAATGCTAATTCTTAAGGTAATGATCCATGTAATTTGGTATTAGCACAGTGATTAAGAACTCTTTGGAGTTAGACTGCCTGAGTTCAAATCCTCTTTTTCCTATGTGCTAACCATGGGAACTTGCTGAGCTTTACAGTAACAACTTAGATTTAGTTAATCATCCTTTCCTTACCTGAAATTTCTATTCTAATTAGAATAATATTCTATACTTGATCTTGGCCAAATGTCTGAGAACCCTGTATGTCTTCCTTGAAGACCAATCCTCTATTTGTTAGTTGAATTTTATCCCTGTTTTCTTTTGAATCACCTTAACAATGCTCTGCCCTTGTTCCTCAGTTACTGCAAAGAGAAAAATACAATCTAGCTTTACCCACCTTCTCAGAGAGAAAAAAGCTTCTTTTGCTCATGTATGTGCATATGTACACAATTAATTTGAAATTTGACTATGCTTATAAATTTAAAGTCATATCCTGATTATTGTCACCCTTTGAGTAATAAACTACCTTGTTCAGTAACAAGCTAGACTGCTGTAGAACTTCTTAATAAGAAAGATTAATAGTAAGATGCTGTTTAGGCAGTTAGAGGTTGAAAGTGGGCAGTTTATAACACTCTAACTAGAAATACTGTCACTGATAGATGTAAGAATTTTGGAAACGAATATGAAAATTTGCAGAAGAACTTTGAATGAAGAGAGACAACCACTTTGAAAGATATAAAAATGGAAAACTATGGAAGAGCCTTCTTTTTCTGTTAAGGCAGGTTGTGGATGATTATTAAAGCATAATACGTTTTCCTGTTTTGTTACCAGTGTTGATTATCTTAGAATTTATCACCTTCACTAATTATCACTTATAAAGATTTATTATATGCTTATTTTGTGCTAGGCTCTGAGCAGTACTTTTATATGTGTTATCTCATTTGATCCTCATAGGAATCATATGAGGTAGGTACTGTTATCCCATTTTACAGTTGAGTCGTATGATATTTAAAGAAGTTAAATATCTTATTCAAGCATATAATGACTGTACACACTATGCAACTTCAATATGCAGTCTACTTTTTTTTGATTCATGTATCTTGAGCTTCTATAATCTCTATAATTGTTATAGTCATAACATAACCGAGCTATATTAGAAACAAAATTATACAGATAGGCTCTCTTATATTTGTACTCTGTTTCTCAAAATAGTATGTCAAATTGTTGCATTTACACAGTGCTTGAATATTAGTTAATTTCATTTTATATTAGAGCACTCTTGAAAAAATCAGTAGAATTTTAATATTATAGAATACTGGTAGAAAGTGAGGTTTTTGTTGTCCTACTGCTTGAGTTCATGTCCTGGGTCTACAATGTGCGTAATTGTGGGGAAAGTTCCTTAATCTTTCTGTCCTTTAGTCCCTTTAACTATAAAAGGAAGATAACAGTGGTACTTACCTCATAGAGTTGTGAGGATTAAAATATAGTTTGGAATATATGTGAAGTACATATAAACTAAGTGCTCAATGAATATTAGCTATTATTAGCTAGTATTCTACTTTATCCACATAAAGATAATTAAACATTCACATATTTTTAAACTGGAGTCTCCTAGAATTCTCTTGTTGAAACTAAGCCTCCAAAATGAAAAATTGATAGAAGTATTTTGAATTTGGGGGGTCAGGGTCCATTGTCTTATTTAGCCTATATCTTATTTCCATTGTAATTTTAAAACTTTATTTAAAATGAAATAGTATAAAAAGTTTGAAATAACAAAGAGTCCAGAAAAAGAACATTTGTACCACTAACTGTGCTATAAAAATTGTAATAACTTGGTTCAAAAGGGTGAAATATTACTATCACTTCCTTAAGATGACTCTAAAACTACAGTTGACACATGAACAACACAGAAGCTTGGTGAGCTGCCCTCTTCACAGTTAAAATTCTGCCTACAAGTTATAGTCGGCCCTCTGTGTCCCAGTTCTCCCTATCTGTGGTTCCTCTGATGCAGCATTTCCTCCATATGCACTCTTGTTTTGTATCTGTGGTTCTGCATTTGAGGATTCAACCAACAGTGGATCAAAAAAAATCAGTAGAAAAAAATCCACATGTAAATGGATCCACAGAACTCAAACCCATGTTGTTCAAGAGTCAGCTATATATCCTTTATGAATGTCAGTTATAAAAAGAATGTACAAGTTCAGATTACTTTAAATTTTAGATTGTAAACACAAATATTTTCAGATAAAAATATCCTTCTCTGAGAGATAGCTTCAGGATGGCGGAGGAGTAAGTCATGGAGCTCACCTTCCTCCCCACGAATACATCAAAAATACATTTACATGAGGAACAGCTTCTACAGAACACGTACTGAATGCTGGCAGAAGACCTCAGACTTCCCAAAAGGCAAGAAACTCCCCACATACCTGGCTGTGTGGCTAACAGGGTCTTGGTGCTCCGGCCAGGTGTCAGGCCTGAGCCTCTGAGGTGGGAGAGCCGAGTTCAGGACATTGGTCCACCAGAGACCTCCCGGCCCCATGTAATATCAAATGGCGAAACCTCTCTCAGAGATCTCCATCTCAACGGGAAGAGCCAGCTACACTCAACAACCAGCAAGCTACAGTGCTGGACATCCTATGCCAAACAACTAGCAAGACAGGAACACAACCCTACCCATTAGTGGGAAGGCTGCCTAAAATCATAATAAAGTCACAGACACCCCAAAACACACCACTGGACGTGGTCCTGCCCACCAGAAAGACAAGGTCCAGCCTCATCCACCAAAACACAGACACCAGTCCCCTAACCAGGAAGCCTACACAACCCACTGAACCAAACTTAGCCACTGGGGGCAGACACCAAAAACAATGGGAACTACGAACCTGCAACCTACAAAAAGGAGACCCCAAACACAGTAAGTTAAGCAAAATGAGAAGACAGAGAAACACACAGCAGATGAAGGAGCAAGGTAGAAACTCACCAGGCCAAACAAATGAAGGGAAAATAGTCAGTCTACGTGAAAAAGAATTCATAGGAATGATAGTAAAGATGATCCAAAATCTTGGAAATAGAATGGAAAAAATACAAGAAACGTTTAACAAGGACCTAGAAGAACTAAAGGAATCAATAGCAAAATAACTGAGGCAGAAGAACGGATAAGTGACCTGAAAGATAAAATAGTGGAAATAACTACCACAGAGCAGAATAAAGAAAAAAGAATGACAAGAATTGAGGACAGTCTCAGAGACCTCTTGGACAACAATAAACGCACCAACATTTGAATTATAGGGGTCCCAGAAGAAGAAGAGAAAAAGAAAGGCATTGAGAAAATATTTGAAGAGATTATAGTTGAAAACTTCCCTAATATGGGAAAGGAAGTAGTCAAACAAGTCCAGGAAGAACAGAGAGTCCCATACAGGATAAATCAAGGAGAAACATGCCAAGACACATATTAATCAAACTATCAAAAATTAAATAAAAAATATTAAAAGCAGCAAGGGGAAAACAACAAATAACATACAAGGGAATCCCCGTAAGGTCAACAACCGATCTTTCAGCAGAAATGCTGCAAGCCTGAAGGGAGTGGCAGGACATATTTAAAGTGACGAAATGGAAAAACCTACAACCAAAATTACTCTCCTAGCAAGGATCTCATTCAGATTTGACCGAGAAATTAAAACTTTTACAAACAAGCAAAAGCTAAGATAATTCAGACCACCAACCCAGCTTTACAATAAATGGTAAAGGCAGGAAACACAAGAGAAGGAAAAGACCTACAATGACAAACCCAAAACAATTAAGAAAATGGTAATAGGAACATACATATCAATAACTACCTTAAATATAAATGAATTAATTGCTCCAAACAAAAGACATAGACAGGCTGAATGGATACAAAAACAATACCTGTATATATGCTGTCTACAAGAAACTCACCTCAGACCTAGGGACACATACAGACTGAAAGTGAGGGGATGGAAAAAGATATTGCATGCAAACGGAAATCAGAAGAAAGCTGGAGTAGCAATTTTCATATCAGACAAAATAGACTTTAAATGAAAGGCTATTAGAAGAGACAAATAAGGATACTACATAATGATCAAGGGGTCAAGCCAAGAAGAAGATATAACAATTGTAAATCTTTATGCACCCAACATAGGAGCACCTCAATACATAAGGCAAATGCTAACAGCCAAAAAAGGGGAAATCGACAGTAACACAATCATAGTAGGGGATTTTAACACCCCACTTTCACCAATGGACTGATCATCCAATATGAAAATAAATA